GTGAGAGTCATCTGAAGTTTTAGTTTAGGTCCTCACTTATTGAGAGTAATAGTGACAAACATAAGCTTCAGAGAACCACCACCACCACTGCTTTCTGCAGCACTAAGAAATCCCTTAGTGGCCATTCCAGGCATAGATTGAGGAAAGGCCAGCAACTCCATGGAGTAATCATCCCCATTCCACACTTACGCCATGGGATTAGGACTACAATTCAACACTCTGCAGTACACAGGAAAAGTTACGGGGAGCGGGAGAAGTCAGGGCTGCTAAAGCTGCATAAAGCAAATATTTTCTTCAAACCTTCTATCATGTTTCTTGAGGACACTCCATGGGTTCACTCCTGAGCTCCTGCTCAGAGCAATACAGGTTCCTCAGACCTTTCCAAATAATGTTCACTTCTACATACAGAATGTTTTTGCAAAACTGAAGTAAGGTAAGCCTCTTGTTCTAGAAAAATACTTTTGGTATGAATTCTTCCCTCCAAGTGACCACCCCTCCTGATTCCTCCATCCCCATTCAACTCCTAAAGGGCTTCACAGTGATTCTGAACCCTGTTAATCTAATAGCAGCTAAAACTTTACACTTCCAATTAGAGTTTTAGTTGGCTTTGTTTTGCTCCTAGCCAAAACTGGCATCTTAGCTGCCTGACAAATCTTGCTGGATACACAGTCACTCCCCACATATGGCACCAGCATCTCCTTGGGGTTCCTTTTGCTTACGTGAGCAATCTTATTTGTCCCAAAATTCTTCATCCACATAATTACCATACAATCATTTAACAACAAGAACTGACAATTTGTTTGATCAGTAGGAGACATGCTGTAATGACAAACATACTCGGGCATTTCAATAACCACAAATCAAACTGTTACTGAACTTTAATATTGTAGATGCTGGTGTTTAAAGTTTGGAAATGTCACATATTAATAAATACAATAGGGATAACTTATCTAAAATTTACCCATTACACTTCAGAGTATCTGTTATGAGAAACACATTGATTTCAGTCAGGTGTCAGAATAGTTGCCAGCTTGAGGCCATTTTGAATACTTCAAGTTGTCTATTAAGGATATACTTCCCTGCAGGAATCTACTTACCTTGCCTGGATTTTACAGAATGGTCTGGATTTATTCTAATAGCGGCACTTCAACTCTTCTGAATATTCTTTCAAATGCACTGATTAATGTAGTCTTTTTCAAGTATCTTGCAAAATGGCCACAGTGACATCTGCTCTGACTCGTGCAAAGTGTCTCACTAGGAAAATTAAATTATTTTCCCACATTGCCCAATGGGAGGATGCTCACGTTCCTTCTAGGAGCAGCCAGCTCAATGGGGAGGAAGATGCATGCAATGTGAAAGTGCTGTCTTGAAAAAAACCCAGACACGTTCATCTTCTCTTTAAATGGAGGATTTGAATATTTTTTCCTGAACTCAATGTTCTCTTAAACCAATAACTTTCTTGGCCTCTGATGGCTATTTGTAGTGTTCTGCTGAAGGTTTTACATGTAAGCAGTTCCTATATATCATTCTCTCAATTGCACTCTGTGAATTTCACTTTCATATTGAATTTCATAGGTGATTTACTTTCTCTTTGACTACTACCTCCTGAGAAATAATTCCATGAATGAAAATAAGGGGTAGATATCACTCTTAGGTGTGGATCCAGTGGGAACTCACATGAAATGCTGTGAAAGTCCACAGCATGTGAAACTCACAACAATCTTAGAAAACACTTTCATTAATGACCTACAAGAGGGAGAGAACAATGTTGAAAGATGGGAGGAACTGCAAGCTACAATGAAAATGCAAAAATATAGAACTCCCTTGAGCAGTTAGAAACTCATGCAAGAAAAAAACAATGATAACATGAAATTATAAATATTATGAAGAGGGGAATAAAGATTCATTGTCAGCTGTCTCTTCCAAGGGGCATTAAATGATGCTAATAGATTCAAAGCAAGATCTACTTCACTTGTGCAGTTCTGCTGCAGAACTTCTTGTGGGATATTAAGATATTTACATGTGTTCAAAATCCCAGGAGAACTTCTTGCCAGTGTCAGAGCTGGTAGGGCCTTTATTATGCTTGTTAACTAAAGTTAAAAAAATGCCATATGAAACCCAGAACACTGAAGGAAAAATCCTGAGGATAAAAAAAAATCTGTCTAAAAAAACTTGAAGTGACGGAATTGGATAAAAATAAATGAATAAATATGGAAGCAAGTAGACCAGTGCTAATCCAAGGCTGTTTCTGCAAGGACTCAGACGTCCAGCTGAGTTGGTGTGAACACACACAGTTGCCACTGTAGGCATGTGGTCCCTTAGTCTCCAGGAAGACTGACAGGCAGGATGGGCTTCACAGAAGAAACATCACATGATTCAGAGACTAGCATGTGATTTGTGAAGAACCATTTGAGAAATGATCTTCACAGCTTGCTTAAGCGATGATGAAAACCAAAAGTGACAGCCAGGAAAATAAATTGGTTAGATTTATTTAAAGAGTGTGAATATCGTAGCAAGGGGGAAAGAATTAGGCTCATACAAAATGGGCTAAAGTTGAAAAGGAACATCAGGTAAGATATCAAGAAGCATGACCAAGGCTGGCAATCATCTTGTCATGGCTCGTGACACACAAAAAAGTATGGACGAGGAAACTTCACAGAATATGTGGCAAGGGATGATCGGGTGCTGACGCACTGGAAAGACCAGTGGTGCCCAGGACTCCTACGTGACCCTGATGCTCACCCTGGCAGGGTGCTCATGCTCTCACATAACAGATGCCACAGAAATTCTGCTGTTTCTCATTACTTCCCCCTTCGTGATGAGCAGAAGTGTTACTCACAAGGACCTTCTCCTGGAATACACGTGTCATTAGCAACACTGATGTTCAGAACAGCGACACCATGAGGTGCTTCTGCTGTTCGAGTCTAACCTGATCTCTAGGGCAGAGGAGTCACAGTAAGGAGCATTCCTAGGTTTAAAAACTCTGCAGTGCAGGAAGAGCAGGCGGTTGTTCATTAGCCAGCTGCTGAATGACATGCTGGCAGCAGGTCAGTGACAGCTAAGATACGTTAGCCACTATTTCACTTCCAAATCAGATAAAACACTGAGTCTCAGCACTAGAAGAATGCTCCAGATGCTGAAACAGTAGATGCAGCGTCCAGCTCTGCATTGTCTGGCATAACATCTCCCTCCGCCTCACCCGTAATGAAGACCCTCAGCTCTGGCCAGAGAAATGGTGCCTCTGCAGTTCATCCCTTGAAAAGGCCCTTTCTGGGAAATCGAAGGATCTTCTTTCCAGCCCAGCATCAGATGATGGGTGCAGGCAACACCAAACTCCTGCCAGGTCTCTCCCCTCTTGACTCGATGTCCTACAGGGTCACAAGTGGACAAGTGACCCTCCATCCAGCTCACTCTCTCTAGAGACAAAGAATCAGGGCCTGTTGCTCAGAGCAAAATACTAATGCCTCAGGTAGGATTTCAGATGATGGACCATTAGTTCTGAAGACGGGTGGAAATCCTGTCAGCGCACAGGTTATCTACAAGCTGTTAGGTCAGTGGGAGTCCTGCCGGCACAACAGGATAAGAAGCACGACTTGCTTTTATAAAAATGTCACTCTTGATTGAGCACAAGAACAAGGGTGGTGACGGGGGCTCAGGATTGAGGGAAAAAATGCTGTACTTTTGTTTGGAAGGATTTCCCTGTCCCTGCACAGGGTCACGTCTCAGCAGCTTCCAGCATTGGCACTACCTTGATAAGTGCCCTCTGATCTACCTTCCAAACCCACGAGGCAGCAGCCTCCTGGGCTGTCTCTTCAGCAAAGAAAGACCACAGTCTGAAGGAACAGATCAGTGGGTGCTCAGTGTCCGTGAGACGGGACTGAGCGGAAGGAGGAACCAGGGAAAGCAGGACCCTCCCAACACCATGTGGCCCTCAGGCCAATGCCTCTTGTAAGAACCGCTATGCACCAGCCACAGAGGCAGCCACGGCCACTGCATGGGTGACTGGGCCAGTTTAACCTGCAGCCAGCCAAAAAACATCACCTGCATCAGCAAAAAAAGATTCAAGCCTTGGCCATTACAGCTCTTGTACAGTAACATGATGGGAGCAAGGCATGGGGAGTACAGGGGCAGCAGAAGCTGCTGGAGTTTACCCTTGTGAATTTCATGTTTGGTCTGCCCAGGCACATTGTGCCTCCCACGCTGTACGCAGCAGCTGTAAATCTTCTCCAGCATTTTGGGCAGTAATGACTGCCTGTGTACTGGCTGCCACACATGCCAAAAGCTGGTGCTGGCACAGCCCTACGGCTCAGGCTGCTCCTTACCACCGGAGGATTCACCACACTGGCAATACTCCACATGGCCTCATTCTACCTCCTCACAGTGGCATGACAGGACTGCCACGCAATTAAACCCCAAGCATTAAAAATCATTAATAAAAAATTATCCCCAGAAGCTTTCAGGGAAGATTCACTTGAGGAAGCAGATGCAGAGAAAGTGAAGAGACGGTGCAAACACTTCCCTGGGACTCAGCCCTCATTGCCACACTGCTGTCCTATCCACAGTGGAACTATCCACCTGCGACATCCCCGTCCATCCTCCTGTGCCTGAAGGAGCAGAGATGAGCTCTTTCCTTTCCACATTGCCCACCCAAACCCAGTCTCCAGGAGGCTCTCGTTGCCTATACCACCGGGACCTCGGAAGGCTGCGGTCTTTTCTTGCACACCAGTTGCCCTTCAATGATTCAGGATTTCATCTGTTACACACACCGTGGATCCCTGTTTCAGCACACCATGTACAGCACATGTCGACATGCAAACACCAAATACAAATCTGCCAAGAACAGCTGATCTGTCTGCCTATCCATCAAGAGCCGGGGAGCGGACAGCCTGGGGAGATATATTCGGAGCAATGTCTGCCTTCCCATATTGCTACCTTTTCTTCAGGGAGGGATGAACATGGCTTAGAGAGGCAGGATAAGGGAGCCCGAGAGATATGATTACCTGTATCCTGTCTTCTGGCAACTCTGTTTTCATGGCCAACATCTCTCTAGCGTATACGTCAGGATAGTGGGCCTCGTTGAAGGCCTTTTCCAGTTCCTCCAGTTGGTAGGATGTGAAGATTGTCCTGAGGGGAGTAAAACTCTTTGATCAAAAAACATAAGAAGAAGAAGCAAAGATGATGAAGAGTCAGAGAAATGGACACAGAAGCTACAGAAACCCAGGTAACCCACTAATGCATAGCTTTCCCCCCCCCATCTCCTGTGTTTCTGTGCACAAAAAAGGTCAGGTGCCAGGGTGAAAGGAGAACCAGAAAATGCCAGAAGACAGTGCTTTGAACAGTTACAAATCACTTTCCCTTTCAGGGACTTGCCTCTGGAGACGGTCCCTCCCCAGCAGTGAGCACCCGAAACCGACAGCGACAGCAGCTGCTCTTACATCTCAGACCCTGCTGCCTCTTGTGAGAAACCTGGGGGTGCCCCTATCCCTCACCCACCCCCCACCGACAGGGCAGTGCACCCACCCCTGCCCTGCCTCAAAAACAACCCCCTCCTCCTCTTGCATCCAGAGGTTTCTTAACTCTTTGATAGTCACGCTGAGATAAAGCAGCATCCCCTCAGCACCCTGTCTGGAGAGGTGCCGAACCCTTCCCCAGCTGTTGGTCCGCAGCCTCTTCAATCTCCACGAGCAAATAATCCTCCCCTGGAGCCCTGGTCCTCGCCTGAATCCTCCAAAGGTTTTATCCACTCTGCTCTCCACTGTTTTTCACCAGTCTTTCTCTACAAAAGCCAGTGCCAGCTCCCTTCCTCTGCCTTCACCCTGGTTGCTTCCACTTCGATATCCCATTAGCTGCTCCCTGCCAGTTTGTGTTACCCCATTATCCAGTGGAAATCTTCCTGGACCGCCCTGGGCAGGCAGCAGACCAACCCGCCTCTGCACAGCCAGTTCTCAGCTTGGGACAACCAGATTGAAAAATCAGCAGCTGGAAAGGCGAGACGGATGAAAGCCCTTCTCCAGGGGATGGATGAGAGGTCTCGGACCACTTCCACTCCCCCGAGGGTTAAAACTCCCCCCCTCCAACCCTTCTGGTATATGAAACACGATTTTTGATAAAAACTAACAACGTTCCAATGGAGGGAAAAAAAAACCACAAAAAACAAAACACCAACCAAACACGAATTGCAGCCTTTGTTCAAAGTAAATGTATATATTATCAAACTAAGAAACATGTGTCTCCCAGAAGAGGGAAGGAAAGAGGAAAAAAGTCTTTTTAAAAATACATCTGAATTTCAGAAAAGCCCTACAATTCCAGAGAGCATAAACAGAAAATCTCAGAAATATCCTCTGCTATTCAGAACAGAAAGGATTCCACCAGATCAATAACATTACTAACAAAAGCAGCATGCAAATGCCAGGGACCTGCCTGCAAGCAGATCCTTCTTTAAATTCACTCCTAAATCCATTTGCTTTTCAAACAGTTTTCCTTCAGCTCCGACAAATCTCTGAAGTCTGGGGACAGCAGAGGTGTATTAACTCGTGTATTTTCTCTCTCTGGGACCACAGGAAAAATTATTCCAATTTTGATCCAGTTTAGATTTCAAGCATTCCCCTCCACCCTCCTCTGACCGGAGCACCCAAGCCCAGTAGGGCTCACGGGCGGGAGGGTTTTGCCTGACGTTCAGCTGAAGTTTTCCCCTGTTAGCTCTCATCCCTGGGTAGCCCCTGTCCCTTTTGCAATACACAATCCACTTTCCCTTTTGGCGTTTCTACCCTGCAGAGAGCTGCAGGATTGACCTGTCATCTCCCAGCCCTTTCTTGATCCAACCAGAGGTCTTAACCGTTTACTACAGAGTACACAACTACAGCTAAATGCTGCCGGTCTGTTTCTGTCTAGAACAGAAAATAAAACGAAAGTGAATTCCTTTTCCTCTCTGCTACCCAAACCGTGACCTGTACACCAGCCCCTGCTGTTTTCACCCAGCCCTGTCCAGTCCAGTCCAAAAAGAAAACGAACCCGTATTTACTCTGGAGCACACAAACTGGGAGCATTTGCCTGGGGAGTTACCCCGGATTTGGGTTGAGTCCTGCAGACCAAGTCTCCTGTTGCACGCATAGCAGGACGTCTCCTGGGATAGTTGGTCTCCTTCCATCCCGCATCCTGCTAAGCTTTCACTGGGGCGTCTTTTAATCCACCCTTCCTGCATCATGGCAGGATTGATTTAATTATTCCTAAATCACCCACGGTGGACGGTGGGCTTTCCTTTGTCCTGAGTCTCCGGTCACAGCAATGCCAGAACCCAGCACAGGATTTTTCGTTTCTGTTTCTAAGGTGCAGACGATCCAACTCCATTTTAACTGTGGGAGAAGTCAGGCAAAGTCTAGTGCCCTGACCGCTCCCGAGGGGACACCAAATCCCGTCCGGATCTCCCAGAACGGATCTTCTTTTCCTTAAGCAATTCTCCAGCCTTCTTCACCTTCTCTGCAGGCTGTGTCTGATTCTCAACTATCTGATCTATTGCCAAACCATTTATTTATAAGTAATAAAATGTTTAAATCATTGACAGAAATTTTCTCTTGCTGACAACCAATATTAAGATCGCTGTATGCAGAGCCGGGGACGGTTTTGATTATTTCGGGCAGGTTGATGATTTTTCCACCCCGCCAAACAACAGTGATCCGCATCCCGCCCGAATGCCCACAGACTGCTCGGGTGTCCGGCTCGGGATACCTGGATCCGCAGCCAGAAAAATTAAATAAAACGACACCTGTG